TTCCAAGAGACTCACTCTGGCATGGCCTGCAGGAGTCTCCTACAGAGGCATGCATAGGGAGGGAGCACTGTTTTTTTTTTTAACAGATGGGTCCCATCTATTTGCTGGATGGGCTGTCTTTTTTCTTTGATTAACCCTTTCTTATGCTCTTTTTTCCTACAGGTTCATAAATTTTACCGGGGAAGTGGGGGGAGTTTCAGCAAAGCTCAGGAGGAGTGGACAACAGGAGCATGGAAGAATCCACACGTGCAGCAGGCGGCCCAGAATGCAGCCATGGGGGCAGCCCAGGGTGCCATGAATCAGCCTCAGACTCAGTATTCCGCCACCCCCAACTACACATACTCCAATGAGATGTGAACCAGCCACACCTACCAGGTGGCAGGGCTGGGGCCATTGGGACAGGGGGCTCAAGCCACATCATCATTTGTGGTGACCAAGCAGGGTTCCCCCTTTCCTTTTTCTCCTTCCCTACTTTGTACAAAGGACCAGAGTTTTATATATATATATATATATATACACACACACACACACATACACACACACACATATATATATATATATATATGTATATGTCTGTCCCCCGGCCCCCAACCTTTGTATTCTGCTCTTGGCACTCAGCTGTGGGCTGCACGTGGAGCTGTCCCGTGCGGTGGTAGCTGTATCCGTGTCCCCTCGTGAAATAGTGTGCAGTGGAGGTCTCTTGTTGTGGTGCTAGATGTGTGTTTAGAGCTAAACCAGCCCCCACCCCCATCCTCCACCTGCCCCTCCTGCCCCTTGCCCCTCTGACCCTGGTCCAGGGACCCCTCACAGGGCCAGGGGATGCATAGCAGAAAGACTGGCCCCTTCCTAGGGTTATAAGCTGGAACTGCTTCCACTTTCAGTCTTCCTGGGAAGCAGCAGTTTTTAGCACTCTTGGTGGTGGGTGGGAGGATGGGTACAAGCCCAGGATATTCCCTTGCTCTTCTCATCCGTCCAGGCCTCCCCTCCCTCAGCCTCCTCCTCCCTCATCTGTTCCCTAATGTCACATTCCCTGTGCTATCTTCCCTTGCCCAGGGTCTGTCTGTCTCTTTCCTATGTGACTTTTCTTTGTCTTCCCCGAGGCTGAGTATCCCAGTTTTATCTGCTCCTGAGACTGAACCCAGATCCCCAAATCTAACTTGATTTACAGTTCAAGGAAGCTGATGAGGGAGTTGGGCCTTACCCCTGATGTAGGAGGGGCACACAGCTGGGGGTGCAGAGCCCACCTGGGTAACTGACACCCAGGGGATGGAAATGCAGGGTTTCTGCTTGGGCCTGAGAGTTTGGTCTGCAGGGGCAGGCTCCTTTTTTCTCTCCCCTGCCTTCTCCTCCTTCTCTCCCCAGAGCCCCCTTGACCCCTCTGCATATGTCCCTCTGCCTCCTCCCCATGCCCCCAGCTGCTGTAGCTTGATTCTCCTACCCTGACCGCACCGTGTGCCAGGTGGCATCTGCCTTACTGCCTTCCCTGAGGAGTTGGGACATGCTGGGCAGTTGTCAGATGTAAAGGCACGGCTGGAGCAGACCACATGTCAGTAATGATTGGTCCCTGGGGGAGGTCTGGCTGGCTCCAGCACACTGGGGCACCTAGGTGTCTCTCAGTGACTGTTGGATTCCTGGGAGCAGTAGCTGTTCTGTTTGGATCTGGTAGAAGGGACAGGGGCTCAGAGGGCTAGGCCCGGAGGGAAGGTCAGAGGAGAAGGCAGGCAGGGTCCAGTGAGAGGGGAGCATGCCTTCCCCTACCCTGACTTGCTGTTGGTCACAGGGCAGTTCTGGGCACTTGAACTCAGGGCCCAAGCAGAAGCACAGGCCCAGTCCTGGCTGCAAGCACAATGGCCTGAATGGGATTTCAGGTTAGGTGGGGTGGGAGGCGAGGCTCTCTGGCTTTAGTTTTGTTTTGTTTTCCAAATCAAGGTAACTTGCTCCCCTCTTCCTACAGACCTTGGTCTTGGCTTGTCCTCACCCAGTCAGAACTCCCTAGCACTTTCAGGAGAGTGGCTTTAGGCCCATGGGGCTGTTCTATTCCAAGCGGTATAAGAATATGGCTGGTAGAGGCTCCAGCTGTGTGCAGGGCCTGAAGGGGAGTGGGTTCTTACCCAAAGAGCATCTGCCCATTTCCCACCTTCCCTTCTCCCAACAGAAGCCTGCCTGAGCTGTTTGGACAAAAATCCAAACCCTGCTTGGCTACTCTGGCCTGGCTTCAGCTTGGAACCCAACACCTAGGCTTCCAGGCCACCCTGAGCCAGGGGCCTCCGGAAGTTCTCTTCCTGATGGTCCTTTAGGTTTGGGCCACAAAATATAATTACCTCTCCTCTCTCCCATTTTCTCTCTAGGGAGCAATGGTCACAGTCCCTGGTACCTGAAAAGGGACCCTAGGTCTAGGCCCTTCTTCCCTTTCCCTTCCTCTCTCCTACCCGAGACCTTCGGCTCCCTTTTCCTTCTCTCTCTGGTGGCTCCAGGAGGCCTGTGATCTAGCTCCCTGCTTAGCACCCATGACCTGTTGGATGTTACCTCCAATCAATATCCTGTCCTACCTGCCTCTTTGGCTCAGACCTATATGGCCACGCTCTGGCTCTACCCTTGGGAAAGCCTGATCCTGGTGTGTGGCCCAGCTTGTTCAGGCCCTGGGATGCTGCATCTCCAGGCAACTATGCACTTTCCCAGGGAGGGAACCAGTATGAGAAGTGGGGGCAGGGCACACATTCATCTTTGCAGGAAGGTCTGGCCTGGGACCGTCAAGTGGAGGAGGGCCCAGGTCAGTTCTGGGGTCCCAGTGACCTGCTTTGCTATTCTCCTGGTGCCGCTGCTGCTCCCTATTTCTGGAGCTGGATGTTCCCCAGCTGGCAGTTGAGCTGCCTGAGCCAATGTGTCTGTCTTTGGTAACTGAGTGAACCATAATAAAGGGGAACATTTGGCCCTGTGTGTTCTGCTGTGCCATGTGTCTTCCTGTGGGCTTGCGTGGAGCCTCATGGCAGGCTGTGGGGCAGGGGCATGAAAGTATGGGGGCTGGGTCGGTCTGTGGTCTGTCATTCCTGGGATCTAGAGCTATACAACCCTGTGTGGCTCTTTATCTGATGCAGCCTTGCGTAGGTGATGAAATTGCCACGAGGCCCCCTGCCTTGGGGGGAGGAAGTGGAAGAAGCAGGCTTGATTGGCCGGGCGTGGTGGCTCACGCCTGTAATCCTAGTACTTTGGGAGGCCAAGGCAGGTGGATCACCAGGTCAGGAGATTGAGACCATCCTGGCTAACAAGGTGAAACCCCATCTCTACTAAAAATACAAAAAATTAACCAGGCGTGGAGGTGGGTACCTGTAGTCCCAGCTACTTGGGAAGCTGAGGCAGGAGAATGGCGTGAACCTGGGAGGTAGAGCTTGCAGTGAGCCAAGATCACGCCACTGCACTCCAGCCTGGGAGACAGAGCAAGACTCCATCTCAAAAAAAAAAAAAAAAAAAAAAAGAGGCAGGCTGGATCCCTGGTAAGGGATGGTTTGGCCCAGATGGTCCATTGCAGCCAAGAGCAGGGGTAGAGCAGAGACCCCACCTCAGCTCAGGGCAGGGGACCCACAGCTGCTTTAGCCACCTCAATGAATACAGAGGTTTCTGGGGCCTGTGAAGGCTAAAAAATGAAAGGGGCAGGGAAGCATGCCCAATGTGCATTCTCCTGCTGCCTTCCCTTTGCCCATTCGATGCCCTCCACCTGGATCGCTGTTGGGATCCTGTATCTAAGCTCCTGGCTGTCCTTCAAGATTCATCTCAAGTCACTCCTTCAAGAAGGCTTTCCTGCCTGGAGGTGTTGCTTCCTCATGGAGGATCTTACCCTGTCATTTTCTGTGTCCCTGTTTGTGTCAAGAACAGGGACGCATCTGATTTATCCTGTATCCTGTGTGTATCTTGTGCACCTAAAATAGAAGAACCTTGGTAAATATTCAGCATTAAGTGCCCCGAGCCCTCTTTTACTAAGGACCTGCCAACATGGGCCCCATTCGCACTAACACCGTGAAGATGGCCCTTTTCTATACTCCGTCATAAAAAAGTACTACACACACCCGGGCAGCAACTTCCACACAAACAAGCACATGTGAAAGGAGATCACCATTATTTCCAGCAAAAAGCTCCCCAGGTCTGGGTGCGGTGGCTTACTCCTGTAATCCCAGCACTTTGGGAGGCCAAGGTGGGCAGATTGCTTGAGCCTAGGAGTTTGAGACCAGCCTTGGCAATAGAGTGAGAACTCGTCTCTACAAAAAATACAAACACTAGTCTGGCATGATGGTGCACTCCTGTAGTCCCGGCTACTCGATAGGCTGAGATAGAAGGATGGCTTGAGCCCGAAAGGTGGAGGTTACAGTGAGTGGAGATAGCACCACTGCACTCCAGTCTGGGTGACAGAGCCAGTCCCTGTCTCAAAAAGGAAAAAAAAAAAGCTCCCCAACAAGATAGCAGGCTAGAACATGCATGTGATGAAGGTGATTTGAAGGTCTCAGTGAGAGGTATCTCCATCAAGTTGCAGGAGGAGAAGAGAGAAAGGAGAGGTGATCATGTTCCTGAGGTCTCAGGCCTGGATCAGGAGATCACTGAAGTATTAACAGATCCTGATATTAAGGAAATGCTGATGTTTTTGGACTTTGGCAGTCTGTCCAACCTGCAGGTCACTCAGCCGACAGTGGGGATGAATTTCAAAACGCCATGTAGAGCTGTTGTAATATATTCAATAAACCTGGGACGACAGCAAAAAAAAAAAAAAAAAAAAAAAAAGGCTCCAAGCAACGAGCAGTGTGTATGGGGCTGATAGGAGTGAGGAGAGGCGGTCGGACAGTTATGCCAGCCCCTATCGAGAGTCCCAGCAATACAAAGAACAGGGAGCCAGGGTTTGCTCCAGGATTTCCCCAGTGGACTACAACTCCTGGAAGGCAGAGAAGTGGACTACAGCTCCCAGAAGGCTGCGCGACACACAGCCAGCACGGTGCTCTCGTGAGGCGTGACAGTCAGATTCCGCGGGAGGGCGGCAGAAATACCGCGATATTTGGGGTCGGCCCCCGAGACGCGCCTGACGCGGGTGAGCGGTGGAACGGGGCCGGGAAGCTGGGTTTTCGCGGCGGCGCGGGAGGAGAGGTTCGGGGAGCTGTGTCTGCGAGCGTGGGTCCGTGGCTGTCTGTGTGTGTCCTCACTTTCCCCTCTGTGCCCATGAAGCTCTGCTTGCGACTGTGCGTGGGTAGGCGGCTGTGCATCTGTGCGACCTCCGTTTCCCGGCTGTACGGGTGGGGCCGCCTGGAGCAGGAGGGACTCCAGAGCACGGAGTGGAGGGTTTGCATCTGTGCACGTCCAGCCCAACTTTGTGCTGCTCTGCGATTATTTGTCCAGCGTCGTTTAATCTAGTTTAAATGATGGCCGTGTCAGCTCCTCACACTTAGCGCTTACTCGGGCTGCCCAAAGTACAAAGTGTATTTTAAAAGTTGGTAAAATTTAAAAAGGAAAGCCATGGGATATTGTAAGTAGCCCTAGGCCTGCCAAAAAGTGCAGAATGCCGTTTAAAAATTAGGCCAAATCTTGTCGAAAAAGAACTTCCTGCTGTCCTTGAAGTATTTGGAAGCAGGTGCTAGATGGTGAGCCGGAGAGGTTCCCAGGTTGGGGAAGTGGTGGGTGTCTTGGACCAGGGGTTTCCATCTCTCTCACAGTGGCTGGGAAGTAGCAATATGCAATCACTGCCATTCTAGTAGCCCACGTGTGTGAGTGTGTGTGTTAGATACATTCCTCCCTCAGTATCCGCAGGGGATTGCTGTATACTTTTTTTTTTTTTTGTCCGAGACAGGATCTCATTCTGTGACCCAGGCTGGAGTGCAGTGGTGGGAACATAGCTCACCGCAGCCTTGACCTCTTGGGCTCAAGGGATTCTCCTGCCTCGGTCCCCTGTGTATCTGGAACCACAGGCATAAGCCACCACACCCGGCTAATTTTTATTTTATTTTATTTTTGTAGAGACAGGTTCTCACCATGTTGCCCAGGCTGGTCTCAGACTCCTGGCTCAAGCAATCCTCCTTCCTTGGCCTCTCAAAATGCTGGGATTACTGATGTGAGCCACCACATCAGCCTTCCCGTATACTCTTTTTTCTTTTTTCTTTTTTTTTTGAGTCAGGGTCTTACTCTGTTGCTCAGGCTAGAGTGTAGTGGTGTGATCATAGCTCACTGCAACCTCGAACTCCCTGGGCTCACATGATCCGCCCACCTCAGCCTCCCAAGTAGCTGGGACTACAGGCACAAGCTACCACGCCCCACCATATAATTTAAATCATCTCCAGATTACTTATAAAACCTGATACAGTGTAAATGCTATGTAAATAGTTACACACTTTTATATTGTGGTACAATTTAATAATAATTTATTATTAAATTATACAATATAAATTACAATAATAATTTATTATTATCATCATATTTTGAAACAGTCTCTGTCACCCAGGCCGGAGTGCAATGGCAAAAACATGGCTCACTGTAGCCTTCTAGGCTCAAGTGATCCTCCTGCCTCAGCCTCCCAAGTAGTTGAGACCACAGGCATGTGCCACCACACCTAATTTGTAAATTTTTTGTAGAGCTGAGGTCTTGCTATGTTGCCTGGGCTCAAGCAGTCCCCCCACCTTGCCCTCTTAAATTGCTGGGATTACAGGTGTAAGCTGGAGCAGAACCCTGGGCGGCTGGTAGTGAGGGGCTTTGATGTTAGGCTAAAGGATTCAGGCTCATAATGGATCTTGGATCCCTGCCTACCCACCACCCACTTCCCTTGTTTGGTTCTGCTTTGTCTTAGGCTCAGTTCTCATCCTTCCTGTATTGAGCTTGAATGTATACCCTGTCTGGCCTTGCTTTCCTTGCTCCCATCTTTAGTCTGTTCTGTGCCAGCTCCACCTTTGCCCATATAGGGACTGGCAGGTATCCCTGAAACCTAAAACTCTGCCCTGAATTAAACTCATCAGAGGAGACTTAAACACACAAGCCGAGGCTCTTTGCGCTGTCTGTCCCTGTCTTTCTAGAGGATAGAGAAGCTGCCATTTTTCTGGCTGTGGCTTGCCTGCTTGGCTTGGTGCCCTGGGATCTTGAGGCTCAGTAATCACAGCCTGTAGCCCCATAATCTGCCTGCTTGCCAACTCTTTTTGCTGCTCAGGAGTTCCTGTGAGTTCAGCAGAGCCCGGGGAAGTGAGGTACTGTCGCCAGCTACCCTTCCCGTGCAAATAGGTGACTCCAACAGGATCTGGTTAGAGTAATAGACTTACTGGTTTGGAATTTGATCCTCTTTGCAAGCAAACAAAGGAATCCTGCCAGCCGTCACCCTTCCTGGAATTCTCAGGTTGAACTGATCTGACCTCGCCTCCAAATGTTGGTTAAATGATCCACTTTCTATTCCTCAAGTATATTAAACACACACATACACACACACACCCTCTTTTTAAGGAAGGTAGGTAGGTTTGATCCTTAGCACAGCTTTACTAAGCAGGCTAAGTACTATATTTCGGACTATAGTGCCTGCTGTGGGGAAGCAGTTGAAGTCACTAATACAGATTCCTGCCCCAAATTTAACTGATTTCTTTCTGTAACCTGTTTCCTAGGAATGAGATCAGCTTGATGTGGATGAGGTTCAGGGGCCTCAGAGATAAAATTTGGCTTCTGGTTTTGCAGGGATCTACCTATCCTAGCACCATTTGGCTAGGGTGGGACAGGGTCAGGGTTTGATATCTGGCAGGTAGGTTTCCCTGGAGAATAAACAGTGTGCTCCCATCATCTACCAATGATGTGTTCTGGGAAGAAGCTGGCTGGTAGGCCCTCTGTACCTTGTCAGATGCTAACAGGGTTCCCCACTCCCTGGAGTAAACTGAGTTCTCCAGCTCTGACCAAGCATTGCCCTGCAGTGGAGCAAACATTGAGATTACTGGCAAATCAAACTTTGGGTGATCTTGCCCTAGGGACCCAGCCTGTGGTTAACCCCTTCGAGAAGTGGGATAATGCAGCCAAACATGATCCTCAGCCCACGTGGGTTGTGCCCAAGTACTGAAGGCAAATCCTGGGGGGAGAGGCTAGAGAGCCAAGGGGCCTGTGAGTGAAGAGGAGACAGGCCCCTGTGGATGCTCAGCCATGGAGGTAGCCACTGGGCGACTCACCAGCATTGCTTCCTGAGCAGCTGCCTGGGTTTCCCTTGCCCTGCTGGTTCTTTTTTAAGTGTATCTTCTAGGACCTTCTGTCTTGTACGGAGAGGCCCTTACTGCTCTCTTTCATGTGTCGAGTCAAAGTTTCTGCTGGAAGGAGCTTCAGAGATCATCTGGTCCTACCTCTGCATTTTTCTGATGAAGGGACAGGTCCAGGGAGGGAATGACCCTGGACCAAGGTCACTCCAGGTCAGGAGCACACCGTGGTCAGGGCCCAGGGCTTCTGATTCACAGACTGGGTATCTGTCTTCTGCCCCACGCTGCCTTGGAGGGTATAGTTATTCATTCAGCACATGTTCAGGACTGCCAGCTAGTGGACTGCTGGTTGGCAATTAGACTTGGTCACACATTCAGGGAGCTTGCTGGTGGAGGGAGAGGCAAGGAAACTGATGTGTAAATTGAGTCTGTGATCACCAAAAAGGTACATCCCAGGGAAGGACTGATCTCAGATAATTTCAGACAGGTGTGATTCCTGTCTTCTCGAACTCAACCTACAGATTCCCCAGAGGCAGCTACTGTGTTTTCCACAATTCCTTTGCATGGTGTTCAGTGTAATCGGTCCTCAGTGATGGTTGCTGATGAAGCATGTTCTGCTGGCCCAACCTGCAGCGTGTAGGTTTTGGTGTCCATCAGCCATATTATCAAGAGCACTCACTTCTAGCAACATCTGAGAGTCAGAGGAAGAAGCAAACCAGCTGGTCTCCTGGGGTGGCCTGCATCCTCTTTATGCTGGTTTCTTCTTGGGCGTTGATTTGTACGGTGGTGCCCATCTTGATTAACGAACAGGGACAGAGAGGCAAATCTGGCTCCCTGGAGCACCCAAACCTCCTCGTTGCCCAGGGTTCCACCTCATGAGCATCTTTGGAACCCATCCTCTCCTGCCACTTCCTTTCATCATTCAGCCCAGTCCACTGCAGCAGCTCCTCTCACCCTCCAGTCTCTCCATTAGCAGGGTCCCTTTGACACGATCACCAGGTGCCAGCACCATCTTTCTAAAACTGAAACGTCTCACCCTGGCCCTCGCTGCCCATGGCATTCTGGCCTCACCCCGACTTTCAGCCTTACCTCCTACCCCTCCACCACCCCACATCACACTCCGGCTTCACTACTGAGGCACTCCCTGTTCCCCAACCTGCCGCACTCCTTCAGGACTTTCACCTTTGCAAGATTGTACCTTCTTTTGAAGTGATTTCTTCCCATCTCGGAAAAACTAACTCGTCCTTCAGGACTCAACCCTAACATCATCTTTTCTGGGATGCAGCCTCTGACTTCCAGAGATGGTCACTCTGAGCAGCCACGGCACCTGGTACAGCCCTTCCCCACAGCACTGCAACGTTCCCTTGTGACTGACTGGCCCAGGTGTGGGGATGGCATCTCACTTTCTTTTCAAACTGTGTGCTCCCTGAAGCCGGGACTGCTGATCCCTTTAGCTGCCTCAGCCTCTGGCCTGGGGCCTAACACGTGGTGCTGCATACATTCTGGTCAGGTATATGAATGAAGAGGGTGGCCCTTGTTCTGCTTTTAGATCCTAAATCCTGACAGCTTTATGGAGCCCGGGCCTGGCAGGCTCCCAGAACTTGAAGCCACCAGACCCCACATGGAACCAAAGGCCTCCTGTCCAACTGCTGCACCCTTGGTGGAGAGAAAATTCCATGTTCTTGTGGGTGTCACGGGGAGTGTTGCAGCCCTGAAGTCGCCTCTTCTGGTGTCAAAGCTTTTGGACATTCCTGGGGTGAGTATCCTCACCAGACAAGCATGGCAGCCTCCGGCATGGGAGGCCAGTGCTCCTGGGGACGGCCCATTGTTCTGCAGTGCGTGCAGTTTTCTTTTTCTTTATCATGTTAATCATGCTTGTGGAGGTCCTGTGTGTGTAGTGCTCTGTGGAGGATTCAGGAGACAGAGACCAGTGTCCAGTGTAACCAGGGGCTAGATTAGATAGTACAGACAGAGTCTGAGGGGAGGTTGGGAAGGGACCTGGTGAACGGAGGGTTTGGGCTCCCATACATTAACCCTGAGAATCTGTGAAGTCCTGTGTGGGAGGAGGGCTGGTTGGAGAAGTGCAACAAGTTCTTAGTACCCATTCCTGCCTTGGGCTCCCCCACCCCCACTTTCATTCCATCTTGAACACTGCAGCAGTGTTCTCCCTCCTTGTGAGATCCCATGGTTGTCCTGTCAGTCAAATGCTCTGAAACCGCATTGCCTGAAGCTCTAGGTTCAAACTTTGCTCCTTCAGGCGTTCAGAGATGCCCCAGGGGCCCCCAACTGTGTGCTGGGGTCAGGGTCTCTAGTCCCCGTCCTTGGCCAGACCCTCAACTTGGATCTATTTTCTATATTGAATCTATTTTCTATATTGGGTGCAGAAGTTCAAGGCTTTAAACAGCGTGAAATCTGACATGCAGTGGCCCCACTTCCTATGTTCCGCCTCCAGGGCCCTTTGTTGGTCTGTCTTACCCCCTTGATCTTTGCGTGGCTGGGCCCTGCTGGGCTGGCTGCCCTCTCTGCTCCTCTCCCGCCTTTTCACATTCTGTGCAAAGCCTTCCCTGACTGCCCCAGCCCAGTCCCTGTGGTTTTGGCCCCTTCTTTTAAACTCATTTGACATAGAACTATAGGTTGCCTTAGACACTGCTAATGTTACTGGCCCCTAGTTTTCGTGGGGTCTTGTGAAGTTGCTGGGCCCCAGGCCTGGCTTTTCTCTGTCTTGTATCAGCTGAGCACCCAAGGTGCAGTGGCCCAGGCAGCCATATCTGGCATGTCCAGCAGGGGGCGGTGCTTACTCACAGTGGTCCCATCAGCTGGAGCTGGGCTGGGAAGTGTTTCACTTTTTTACTTTCCACCAACTTCCACCCAGAAAGTCACCCCGTCACCCCACCCCCAGGGCTGGGATAAGCCATGAAGCTGCCAGCCAGGGATGACAGCTGGCCAGAGTGGGGGAGGGAGGAGAGTCTCGTGGCACTCTGAGACTGGGTGCTGCACTTTTAGGGCAGTACTACTTAGGCCCAGCCACCCTCTGTGTACCCAGAACCATTGGTAGGAGCTGGCCAGCTAGAGTCGTGAGGGCGGGAGGCCTGGAAGGGTTTGCAGCAGTGAGAGCCTCTGCCACCACCCCCTGGGGAGGGAGGGAGCCATGCAGTTCCCTTTTCCCATAGCCCCAGAGCAAGTGAGTTTCCGGACTAGGGGTGGATAGGGGCGGGGAGTCCTATCCCAGGAAACAGATGGGCAGCCTCAGAACGGAGGGAAATGGCAACCCCACCGCTTCCTCCCATCCCACGCAGCCAGCGTTTGGCTGGGGGGCGGTGTGTGGAAAGGGTTGCCTGGAGCGGGGAGGCAATCGAGCCCACCCCGGGGCTTTTTAGCTTGGGCCTCGTGGGAGGGCAGGCCATGTCTGGAACAGGACTTGGCTTCCCCTCTCTGGTTGGAGTTGACGCCAAAAGTGAGGCAGCCAGAGGGCACTGAACTGGGAGGGAAGGCTCCCCGACTCAGCCTCTTGGAGCCTGCCTTTCCCATTTGAAAATAAGGCTGATTCCTGCTACCCATCCCCCAGGCTCTTGTCAGGCTCCCTGAGATGTTGGCTGGGGTGGGAGGGGTCACAGATGAAATAGTCCTGTGCCAGTGACTTGGTGCAGAGCCTGGCATATTGAAGCACTCGGTTGTGTATGTTTGCTGGCCATCACCGTGTCCTTTCCCCTTGTTCATGTCCTTTGGGCCAGCCACATGGTGTGGGGCAACCCCACTGGGAAGAGCCATGGAAGCCACAGTTCACCTGCTCTTGTGGAGGGCCCATGCCTTTCATCTGCAGGGAGACAGCTCTCCAAGCCTGGCTTTGCTTATTGGGGCCTTCCTGAGGTGTGGGATCCAAAGGTAATCCCTGGATTGCCTTGTGTTGGCCCCAGTGGTGGCGTCTACCCCTGCACACTCCCCTGGATTTCCTGATGGCCCTGATCTCCACACTGCCTCCTGCTGGATCTCCTGCAGGAGCATCATGGTCCCTTGGAGTAGTCACTTTCAGCTCTTCGCCTGCCTAGTTGTGGGTTCGCGTGCTCAAGGCTTTCTGGAACTACCTTAGGTACCTCCAGATTTGGTCCAGCACATGAACAGCTGGGGTGTGGGCTTCAGAGAGCTGGGGGATTCTACAGATCTGGCCCATCACTGTTTCTGATTGACCAGCATGTCCAGACATCCCGGGAAAGCCGATAACCTCAAGGTAGCCAAATCAGGGAGACTGTGAGAGGTGTTGGAGAGACATGGATTAGGCACAAGCCACACACACCAGCACGATGGGGAGAGTAGTCACTAGCAGAGACGACCTTGAGTATGTTGGGGCAGATGGGCAACCGTGTCACAAGAGAGGCAGCTGAGCACATTTCTGATGCTGGGATGCTGGGCAAGTCAGTTCTTTTTGGCCATAGTTTTCTTATCCACACAGTGAAGGACGGGCAGGTTCTCAAATGATCCATCTCCAGGGTCTCTCCTGGCACTGGTGTTAGAAGATTCTAGATGTGAGGGCAAAAAGGACTAGGACCCAAAGGCAGCCTGAGAGAAGGTCCTGGGGCCCAGGAACTTCAGGGGGATCGGGGGTTTTGTTGTTCCATAGTTGTCATGTAATTGAGTGGCAGTAAAATCTGGTTTGTCAGCTCAGGCAGTTTCTTCCCTAGGGTTGGCAGCCTGGCCCGTGCAGGGGAGCAAAAATGGCTTTCCTCCACCTTGCTAGGCTGCTTGGCTGGGCCATGAGTTCAACTGACTTATAAACAAAATTAACAGGACTGGGTGCAGTGGCTCACTTTGGGAGGCTGAGGTGGGCGGATCACTTGAGGCCAGTTCAAGACCAGTCTAGCCAACATGGTAAAACCCTAACTTTACTAAAAATACGAAAATTACCCTGGCGTGGTGGGCACCTGTAATCCCAGCTACTCGGGAGGCTGAGGCAGGAGAATCCCTTGAACCCGGAAGGCAGAGGTTGCAGTGAGCTGAGATTGTGCCACTATTCTGGGTGACAGAGCAAGACTCCACCTCAAAACAATAACAACAAAAAACAAGATCAATAGGAGAAAACCATATTTAATAACATAATCTGCACGTGGGTGTACCACAAAATATGAGATTCCCAGAAGGGTGAGATGACTGAAGCCTGTATAGCAGCCTGAGTTACAGAAGGAAATAGGGGCTTGGGGCTTCTGGGGGTAGTGGCGGACACAAGTTATGGGAGGGTGAGGGGAGGAATTGTACAGTGAATAAACGTCTTGTTAGGCAGATGAAAATTTCTCAGATAATGAAAGATGCCTCAGCAGATTGTCAATAAGTCAGTCTTCCCTTCTCAGGGAGGGGGACTCAGGACAAGGGGCATCCCTCTTTAGGCAGATAAGAGAAGTTCAGAGAAAGTTCCTCCCTGCATCTGTTTTTTCCCAAGTGTCTTCAGGTTTGAAATAATCAGCATACCAAAGCCACATATTATGGGATGGCATTTCCTGAACTCCTTCATCCACACCCTTTAAACTTGGGAGGAGAAGGCAGACATCACCCTAGCTTTTGCCAGGGCAGGTGTCAGCAGAATTCAGAGCCAAAAGGGGATTTCTAAAGATAGAGAAAACCCCTGACTCAAGGAGTCAGCAGGCCTCGGGATCAGAGGAGGATACATTTCTAGGGTGTCCGTCGGGACATCCAGGTCTGTTGAGGGTGAGGAAAAGAAGGCTCTGCTCATATGTAGTGTGGAGTAAATTCTGACTTTCTGGAGGACCACTTGACAATATTGAGAGAAATTAGACATGTTCATAGCCCTTGATTTACCCACAGGATTAAACCCTGTGGGGTGTATTTACAAAATAAAAGGATGTTCATTATAGCATTATTTATAATTTCAAAGCAAAACTGGAAGCAAACAAAATGTCCAGCAGTAGAGAGCTGTGGTGCCCTTATGATTTATGGGACAATCTCTCAGTGGATTACTTGGCAATGTTTCAGAAAAATGGGGTGGCTCTCTCTGTGCTAATGGGAGCAATCCTCAAGATAGAAGCGGAATAAGCAAGGTGAAGGAGCTAGTGAACTGGACCCCCAGGCCAAATTTGGCTCAATGCCTGTTTTTGTATAGCCTCCAGCTAAGAATGATTTTTACATTTTAATTTTTATTATTTATTTTTGAGACAGGGTCTTGTTCTGTTGCTCAGACTGGAGTGCAGTGGTGTGACCATCACTCACTACAGCCTCAACCTCCCAGGCTCAAGCAATTCTCCCACCTCAGCCTCCCAGATAGCTGGGAGTGCAGGTGTACCATCACACTCCGCTAACTTTTTTGCATTTTTTTGTAGATACAGGATTTCGCGATGTTGCGCAGGCTGGTCTCAAACTCCTGGGCTCAAGTGATCTATCTGCCTCCACTTCTCAAAGTGCTGGGATTACAAGCATGTGCCACTGTGCCCAGCCTGATTTTTACATTTTTAAATGGTTGAATCAGAAGAAAAATAGTATTTTGTGACTCATAGAAAAAGTGATATGAAATTCAGATTTCAGGTCCAAGACAATTTACTGGAACACAGCCATACCCATTCATTTATGTATTGCCTATGACTGCATTCGTGCTACTGCAGAGTTGAATCTTGCAACAAAGCCTAAAATATCATCTGGCCCTTTATAGAGGTTTGCTGACCCCTGGTACGCAGCCTGATTCCTTCTGTGTGTTTTTTTTTTTTTTTTGAGACGGAGTCTTGCTCTGTCGCCCGGGCTGGAGTGCAGTGGCGCAAT